GGAGCCGGCCCCGCAGCCTTCCAGAGCCGACCGCTGGCTACACCAACCCAGCCTACTTCATCTTCGAGGGGGTCCCCAACACGTGGGTGCCGGCCCCCAGCACCAGCGAAGCCCATGACAAGCAGCTGGAGAGCCCAGCCAGGGACCAGCGGCGCCAGAGCCCCCTCGGGGCACGGGTCCCTTCACCCTCAGAGGAGGAGCGGTGGGGCAGCCGGCCCTGCTGTGTGCCAGGGGGCCCGTCCCGTGGGTGCCCACTCAGCCCCCCCGGTGCAGGCCGGCAGAAGAGACCCAAATCGGCAGTCCTGGCGAGGGACCCACCGGGGCTGGGCGACTGCTCGCTGACGGCGCTGCACATGGCCACCTGCCTGAGCCAGCTGGACCGGGCGTCCCCTGAGCGCAGAGGGGACAGCCAGAAGACCCTGCTGCGCCAGACCCACAGCCGCCTGGAGCCACCCCCATGGCCCTGCCGGGAGGTGCCGAGGTGCACGCCGGACGCTCACCAGCACGGCCACCCCAGAGAGGTACTGCTCTGGTTCCCGCCAGGCTCTGGAGCTCGGCTGTGGGGCTCGGGGAGCTCAGGGAGGGGAGGGGACCTGCTTTTGGCCTTGAGGCCACCAGCAGATGGGGGGTCCCATCCCCATGGCAGTGCTCTGCCTGGTGGAGCCACCACAGCAGTGGGATGCGTTGGAAGGCAGAGGAGGAGCAACGGGACCAGTTCATGCAGGGCGAGGAGGTGAAGGTGGGGACTTTGTGGTCCTGGTGTGACGCTGCTAGCCCGTGTCCTTGGTCTTTCCCCAGTGGCCCTGCGACAGGGGGGAGCTGTCCCGCAGCGTCGGTGGGTGCCTGGGCCACCTCGGCTTGCAGCAGGACATGGAAGTGCTGCAGGGGTATGGCTGGGACCCCCTGGAGATCTTCAGGTACCCCCAGGCCCTGGAGCTCCGAAAGGGGGCAACCATGCGGGCCAGCTCCTGTGGCCCTGGGGTCCCTGGCAGAGCCCCGCGCCCCGGGGGTGAGGAGACGTGAGCCTCGGGGTGGGGATACGGCAGGGCAGGGGGATATCAAATCCCCAGATCCCCACGGATGCCCTGGGACCATGCAGGCTCCCCATTCCCTCTTGGTGGCTCCCCCAGCACTTTCTCCCCCACCCCCTGTGTGCAGAGAAGTCACGGAGCGGGACCTGCTGGAGGCTGGGCTGCTCAGCCTGAGCCATCCCTGGCTCATCCATGGCAAGCTCGGCGAGGGCAGCGCGGTGAGCCTGCCACGGAGACCTGACCTTGGCCCCAGCGCCTAGAGCACCTATCCCCACCCCAGCACCCCCATGTGCTCTCCTCCATGGAGCTCCCGGGGCGGGCAGAGAGCTGCCCAGGAGGACTGGGCAGGCAGGCAGGGACCTACTGGCCACGGTCCCAACCCGTCTGGCCTCCCCAGCAAGTTACTGGTGTTTCTCAGTTGGAAAGACCTAGGAAGCTCCTGTGGCCACTGGGACGGACACTTTCTGCGTCTCGCTGCATGACTCCATCCTCCCTCCCCAAAGCAATGGAAGGAGCACGCTGAGCCCCACCAGCAAGGAGGGATGCGGGGCAGGGGAGATGTTGAAGCCGCCTGGGGAGTGGGGACTGCTGGGTGCTTTGGCTCTCGAGGCTCAGCCTCTCCAGGTGACCAACGTGCAGCCTGCAAGGGCACAGCAGCATCTGCAGCCAGCCCAGCCCTGCAGACCCTCGTGCCTTCGGCCTCAGTGGCTGCTCCTTCCTCCCCAAGCTCAGCCCTGGTCAGACGGTGTTCCCAGAGGACTTCTCCTACAGCGGCTGCGGCGCCATTTCCTTACAAGATGCCCCTTGCTATCCCCATCCCAAATAAAGTCTCAGGGACACTGGGGTGCACGTGTGCAATGCCTGGTTCTGTGCAGGGGCAAGGAGCGAGCACGCCGAGCCCAGCAAGCCTGGCGGGGGGAGAGCGCCGGCTCCTAGTGCCTCGGCTGCTCCAGGAGCATTGCCCCCCACCTCCCACGTTTAATCAGGGACTGTGCAAACCCCAGCCTCAGGGCTGCCCTTACCTGGTGTCCCGTGGGCATCCCACGCAGGGCTGGTCCCATGAAGGTCCCCCTTCGGCGGGTGCTTGCGGTGGCACGGCTACCCGCTGGATGTGTCGGCTCTGCCTGCTCAGTCCCGCGCACCGGGGGTTCCCTTGTGCTCTCCCCCTGTGGCCGAGCATCTCCGGGCTGCCCCTTGCACCTCTGCTCCCTGAAGCTGTCCCGCTCTCGGCTGCAGTCCCCCACGTCTCGGGGTCCACCCATTCGCCCCCAACGTGCACTGTTCATCGCAACACTGATGTGTTTGCACAGCACCCACCCGCACCCTCGCAAAGGAGATAAATCCCCCGGGCTGGGAGCAGCTCTGCAGGCAGCGGGGGCACACACTCCCCCCAAAACACGGGGACCCCCCAACCTGGCAGGGCCCCAGCTGCTGCAGCACCTGAGGTGGCCCCGGTTTTGGGGACACTATGCTCAGGCTGGCCTCAAGGTGGCAGTGGCCACCTTTGTCCCCAGGATTGCCCCGCAGGGTTGGGGTGCCAGCAGGACAGCACCCCGGGGTGCGGGCACTGCCGGGACCCGTGTGGCCTCGGTGGGGCGGGGAGGCTGCCCTGGGGTGGGCGAGGGCCCTGGTCCCCATGGATAGGGGGCTGCGGTCCCCATGGACCAGGGGCCATGGCTCCCGTGGTTGAGGAGCTGTGGTCCCCATGAGCGAAGGACCATGGGTCCCATGGCCAAGTGTCCTTGGCCCCCACGGGGAGAAGGGCTTGTGACCCCATGGGTGAGGCCCACATGTCCCATGTCCGGGGGGCTACTGTGGGGGCTGCAGATGGCCCAAAGCCTGCGAGGGCGATGGATGGGAGTGCAGCGGGGCTGAGCCCTGAGGGCAGCCCCTGGGGCAGGCAGGGACATGGGCAGGGACGCGGGCAGGGACGCGGGCAGGGACGCTGCGGGCTCC